TCTGTTGACAACATTTTGACACCGACTTACCACCCAAGGAAAATACTACGGTAATTGAGTTACCAAAATATGTTCATAATCTGCTTCACAAAAGAGGAGGAGAGCATTAAAAGCACTCTAATAGCTGCCTCAGTTCAAAAAATACAATAATAATAACCGCATACTTTTATATTGTTACATACAGATAGACATTTTATATAGAATTCTTTATTAATATTGTAAAGTTAATGTGACATTTCTTTTTCATTTAACAAGTTAATAAAGTTTTTTTACATACTTATGTAGTCATAAAACTTTCCGCAAATATTAAAGGTGAGACAATTGATAATACATATATAATGTATTCCTCATATTGCAACACTGTTTAACTGGTTTCTTTGATTATTGTAGTATTTAGATATATGTTTTTATAAATATGATTTCAATGTTTGTCATGTGCGAATTTAGGGCAAATCAATAGGAGCCAGTGTTTGTTGTTGTTTATTTGTTATTTCCATTTATTTACACTTTATTATTCACTCACATCATTTTGCCATTGCAAAAAAGATATTAATATTTATTTATTTATTTATTTATTGCTTCCCTTTTGTAACAGGGGCTCACTATGTAAACTAGGAGCTGCACCAAATAAAAAAAAAAATACATTTCACTCAAAGACTTATGGATAAAAAACTTTTGATAGACAAAAAGAAATTAAGTTACATGAACTAAGATAACAAAATATAACAACAACAAAAAACATCTAAAAGTAGCAACAACAACAAAAAATAAGAAAACTAAAATATAAGAAATATTATTATTAATATTATGTGAAATTAAACATTGAAGATTACGCATGAGAATACATTGGGAACGATGGAGGAAATATTATATTTAGTTTTTATGTATCCCTTGTTAGCGTAGAATTTTATGTGTAAAAATGGAATGAATATCCAGCGCCTCTGGATTATGAGTCGGTAAATTGTGTTTACTCTATATTTGGACTACACATAGTTCTTTGGCAGTAACGTGGCCGGCCACAGCCGGAATAATCGATCTGTTAAAACTGCTCTAACACAATTTTGCCAACAATACAGCAAGTTCAAAAATAGAAGTACTAGTATATGTTTGCATACGTGGGTGATGTGTTCTTATTTCAACAAATAAAAAAACAGAGTGACACAAAAGAATACACGGAAATGAATGCGGAACAAAAACATCTGCAAAACGCCTCGTCCATTGTTGTTGGCTTCGAGGACACAACATTGACCATGGTCGGTAATGGCATTTCTGACACGAATTTAAATCGACAGATAACGACACGAAGACGACAAACTTTCGTTAAAATGTTCATTTTTTAACCAGACAGCGTTGGTCTATTCACATTCCTGGAGACTGCCGTTCAAAAGTTCATTTCAAAACAATCGGAAACACGGTCACCAACGCCTGCATCGTGTGTCGTCCGGGATTTAGTTTCGTGAAATGTCAATTTACTGAACTTACCAGACACACAGAACGTTAAAATTTCACTCACCTATTGTTGATATAAATGTCGAATTAAATGCGTCTTCTGAGAATCTAAAAAGTACACAAGTTTTTCCAACACCAGAGTCACCTATGAGAAGCAGTTTGAAAAGAAAATCATAGGTTTTCGCCATTTTGTCTGTGCGTCTGTCAGGGAAACACCCTCATTTGCATAAATTGTAGGCGGCGTATGACGTCATTGCTAACTCGGTGCTGCCCGACCGCTGATCGCAAACGACAGTAATTGGGTCCCCATGCTTAATCAATGGCTTGTTTTTTGTTTGTTTTTTAAAAACTCTAAATGCGTACAAACATTTGCAAAAAATGAACCATTCCAAGTACAGAAACATCAAAAGCAAACTCTATTTGCGAAGGAATTCCACCAAATTCTGAGCGCCATTTATGAAGTGGTACATATTGATCCACTGGATCGCCGGGAGATGCTCAAAAGACATGGAAATTGAAAAATAACTCTTTTCGCGTTTATATTTTTAGAAAAACTGTTAATGTCCTTATTTTGTTTTGTTTTTCCTAAACACCATACGTACACTATCGTTTGGCAACCACCCATAATCACGATGCGCCGCGTTTTGTGCTGTACAATGCAATCAATACGGAGTTCCGATGAAAACGAGTACCTCCACATTCGCAGACCTGTACACAGAGTTCCGATGAAAACGAGTACCTCCACATTCGCAGACCTGTACACAGAGTTCCGATGAAAACGAGTACCTCCACATTCGCAGACCTGTACACAGAGTTCCGATGAAAACGAGTACCTCCACATTCGCAGACCTGTACACAGAGTTCCGATGAAAACGAGTACCTCCACATTCGCAGACCTGTACACAGAGCTAACTAGGTCCCGGTGACCTCGCTATGTTTCCCTCACATTGCCTGAGAGGTATGGCGCAGTGCATACACCGAAGATTGAACATTCTTAAAATAAGGGGGCGGCCCGTTGGTTATTGGGGGTGGGCAGGAAGATTTGGCGAAAAGAAGTATTGTCGTGAAGAGACAAACTATTATGTCTAATATAAATACACTGCATACATAGACAGTATAGTATAATATACTAGTACTACTTTATCATATACCTCGTATTGCCCGGCCTCGTGACGCTATGGGAATCCCGATGCGCGAGCCGTGCAATAATTTTCCATATCACGCCCGGGCCCCGTTTACCATATTTGGTAAACGCGTCTATTTCCTGGAACTACTTTCTGTTTATAAACAACGCGCGTAATTTGCGTCTGCGCTT